AACATGTATCACATCTATAAAATCTATCTTTAAGCATCACTTGATACGTATCCTCTCCTATTTCTCTTATGTTTTTAAACTTATTTGACATACATGCAACGCGTGCCTTCTGTGCATTCATTATTTTAGTCTTTGCGTAATTTTGTGTATTCATTGCATCGTAACCATATGATCCATTAAGTGAAATCTTGCAAAATAAACTTTTTCCTTTATTTCCTTCTAATTCAGCCTTTTGTCTTTCGTTCATAAATTCATTCGCAAATTCATTAAAACAAGTATTTTTCGTAAATGTTAAAATTGATTGAATGTCATCAATGATAAAATGAAATCTGTCTATTAGATACCAAAGATAATAAGAAGAAAATGGTTGATATTGGTTGTGTGTTGATGCTAACTGAGTTAATTTCCTCTGTTTCTGGTCAACTGGTAGATTGTTTGATTTCATGTAATTATACATAAAACCACCAATTGTTTTTTCATCTGTGATAATATCAAAGTTTCTTATTATTGGTAAAAAGTTTATGTAATCATTAATGTATTTTTCATCAATGTGACCCTTTACTTCAGCCACGAATAAAGTATTTTTCTTCTTAATTATTCCCAGTGCTTTTGCTTTCTTTGTTGCTGTATCACAAATGATAACACCATTCAATCTTCCCGGCATATACATTTTATGGTCAGTATATTGAATGAAATCATGAGGATTAGATGAAAATGATGAAGGATATAATGAATTAAAGTCAACACCAACGAAATGAGTCATAATGTTGGAAGTGTCCTCATTTGATACAGTTTTAGTTTCTGGATTATATGAAAGTTTATTAATGTGCGTGATTCCTTTAAGATTTACTCTATGTTGAACATTTGATAAACCACCAGTAATTCCATTACGGAGGATGTGATAAGCTTCAACTGAATCTAGAGTCATTGGTAAATTATTTTTTAATGTATAATTTCTTAAATTGATTCTTAAACGTTGAACATCTTCATCTTTATTTGATTTTACGACATTGCAATAACAACACATTAACTGACAATTTTCTTTGGTATGTGGTTTTTCATTATCGATTCTATCTAATGTTGGTTTATTAGCATATGTAAACGCTTTACCACACATTTTGCATTTAGATGAAAGGATTAAATCGTGATAGTATTGATAGTCATCCATTGAAACATTGTTTTTAGTATCCCTTTCTGCTTTTTCATCTTGTTTCTTATATGAATCAATTTTATATTTCCAATACTTTTTTGTTAATTCAAAACTTGATTCCACATTTTCTTCTTCTGGATATGTTTCGTTAGGATTGAAGTTCTTATATGCTAACGCGTAACGAATCATTGATGCATTCGATGATAAAGAAAGATTATGAAGCATGTCAATTTTATAAACAAATGTTTCTTCAATAATTTTATCAATTGGGTCAATCATAATTTCAACGTCTTTATTGCAATAATGAATAAAATATTCTAATCTATTCTCAAAATTTTTAGCATCATTGAGATATATTTGATAATCTGAATCGGATATTGTTTCTTGAGTTAATGCTGAATAAAATGAATCTTGAGTGAATGGTTCCACTTTATATAATTCATCTTCGTAATTCTCCCATGTGATGAATTGATAAGGGAAAAAGGATTTAACACGTGATTTATTGTTTCCGAAATCTTGAGTGAATTGGTCTAATGTTCCACCCGCTATATAATTTCTGATGTCAATAAATCTTAATTCATATGGACAGTTTGTTTTCTTTACAATGATTTGCTTAAATTGAGAAGAAGAACCCAGCATTGATTTTATTTTCCATTTTGCAGTGTTTAAATCACGAAGAATTAAATTTAAATCAAACTTTCCCGAATTAAAACCTATGATATTCACTTTATTGAATTCCTCATCTAGAAGTTCTTTAAATGCTTCCTTCTGTTTTTCATTTAATGTATGGGACAAAGTCCCCGCCGTTTGGTCCGTTTGCGGCTTCATTAATTCTTCATATTGTTCAATATTTGATTTAGCAACTAATGAACAGGTTGAAAATAAAAATTCAATCCAATCAGAGATGAACGAATCACTTGATGTTAAGCAAAAATTCCTCGTAAATGTTTTATCACGGTCTACGACCTCGCCGCTTCGGTCTGAAAGACCTTCAGGACTCAAAGAGTCCGTTTGCGGCTTTATTTTGACAGTTGATGATACCATAAATGGTTTTAAGTAAGCGTTCAAAGTTGCACATTCAGAAAGTTGAAGTTCTTCTTTAGTCTCTAATGTTTCGAAGTCAAAAGTAATATAATATCTTGTTGGTTTATAATATTCCTGCAAATTGTGCTAATAGCCATTGATATATCTTCTGTTTCGTGATATGTGGTGCATATGGTTGTTGTGTGTTTTGCAATTGAACGTCTTGAATTAATCTTCCATTATTTTCTTTACATTTCTCACAATGCTTTAAAAATCTTCTTTGGTTTTTCCTTTCTGGGTCATCACGGATAGAATATACTTCTTCTTTGCAAAAGGGGCAAACTTTATATCCTGTGAGTGCTTCAACGTCTGTAATTCTGTCAGCGTGAAGTTTTCCACATGGACTCTGTGTTAATAAAATATTTACTGTTTCAAATTCTGGATCTATCATTATTGATTCCACTAATGGAAAGTCTACCTTATTTATGTCTACGTCTTCTGGTTGAGGGTCACAATAATAAAAAAATATTAACGTTTAACATTCTTGCTAACCTCTCACTTTCTGATGAAATGTCAAATCCTTCATATGCATCTATGGCTTCATTTAAATAACTTCTACGAGTTTTAGGATTAACACCATCAGGAATGTTATAGAAGCGTTTAAATAACCTTCTACCTTCGGCTCTTATTTGATTATCATTCATTTTAGCTGTTCCGTTTTTGTTCATTTATGTAAGAATAAAAAATTAAAAAATAAATAAAAATAAAGTTTATTTTTTTAAAGTCCAGGGCTAAAGTCCATAAAATGAATTAAGAACACATAAATTTTTATCATCTGCGACGTGACGAATACATTTTAATTTACTCAAGAATGCGTACCCTGATACATTAAATCTAATTCCTGTCTTATTTAATTTCACAACTTTGAAAAGGAATGTATGAATAGCTATAAAATGATGAGATGATGTTTTATGGGTTGCTTCCATTTTTTCTGAAATAAATGAATAAATATAATGTTTATAAGTTTTCATATCTTTTATATTCTTAATAACGAATGGTATAGACCTTTCAACTTCGTCTTCCTTCGGTGCTGTTCTTTCATATGAAACATTATTAGTATCTTCAATAATGAAACCACAATCGCATAAAATTTTATATGTACCAATTGTTTCTTTTGATATTTTATCTAACAAATCAAAAACTTTATCAACACCTGCACATTTATTTAAATAATAATTTGTGTAAATATCATGGTCTTCTTTCTTAATCGTATTTGTTGCATATGTTACATTTTTCAGTGCTTTTTTGAATTTTTCAGAATCAAGAGGAGGTGAAAGTAATATACATGGATAATCTCCATCGTCAATAAATTGTAACTTATGTTTATGAATAAATTTTGTGCCTTCTTCTGAAAGTGTTTCATCTATTTCACCATCTAATAAATTTTTAGTAGATTCCAAAAAGTAATTTTTATATCTTTCTTCATGAGATTTTTGAACTTCTGATTCTGAAGCTGGGATATTCATTAAACCCTCTACTTCATTCTCATTATATTTTTCAACTTCTCTTAATTCCTTAATTTTTTCATCTATTTCATCTCTTATTTTTTCCAGTCTTTCAATTTCATCATATTCATCATCTTTAATCCGTTCTTCATAATATTCAGGGAAAACATCAGGTTCTTTAGGTTTTTCTTCTTCAGATGTGGGATATAAGAAATTTATAACATCATCTTTATTCATTTTTCCATCATAATCTAAATCATTTAATAACTCCGCGAATTTTTGACAATTTCTTAAATAATATTTATTAACTTCATAACTCGCCTCCTCTAATATATCCTTTATTTCCTCGTTTGTGAATCCCAATTTTTTAACGTCGTTAGTCTTGACACTCATTTTCATACGAATTAAAAAAATAAATTATTCAAAAAATGTAAGACATGAATTTTTAAAGTTTATTTTTCATTCATGAATGATAATTATATCTGATTTCTTTTACTCTCTCGTATATACTAGATTTGAAGAATTCAGAACTTTTACCATAATCTCCTAAATGTTTTCTTATCCCTAACGTGTGCCAGTTATTATATGAAACTGAATAAACTTTATCTTTATCTTTACACCTTTCATCACTTCCAATATATTTATATCTCAGTTTTGATTTAGCATTTTCATATTCATTAGCGTTTAATAATTCACAGTCTTCCTTTTTAAATTGATGTTTAAGATATTCAGGATTTAATACTCTACGTTTATATGCTCCTAACTTAGTCCTAAAGGTTTTTCTACAAAATTTAGGAATTCCATCCTCTTGAATGTCATCAATGATTTCCATTTCATTATTTTCAATTTCTTCTTCTCGTTTATGAGGTCTTTGATTATGACTCCATTGATTCCATGAAATTAAATATTCTTTATCATTATATTTATACCTCATTAGCTTATTTTGGCTTTCATATTCATTTAATAATTCACAATCTTCATTTTTAAATTGAAGTTTAACCCATTCAGGATTTAAACAATGTTTAATTAATCGCGGAATATCTGACATCATCTATATATAGCTTCTTTTATAAAAGATAAAAAAATAAATTATTTTAAAATTAATGTTAATTTTTTAATGTGTTTAGTATATAAATATTTTAATGCATCGTCTATATATAGATGTTACAAAAAAAGTCACACAACCCGCACTCATATACTACTGACGTTTTTCAAAAATATTTTAATAAATATTGCAAGAATTCAAGCATCTAATAGAATGGAATTGAATTAATATTGAAAATTTTTGATTGAATTGAGACTTTTCCGATTTTCATTTTAAAATGATTGAAGAAGTCGAATACTACGAGTATGAAGAAGAAGTTTGGGAAGAGGAAGACGACGAGGAAGTATTGATTGTAGATGATTCACCTGATACAACAGAGTTTTACAAATACGCAGAATTAAACACTTGTATCTTTAATTACTGTGCAATTAGACCATATAATGAAATCTTTTATAGCAAAGAAAATGACTTAATAATCATAAAGCTTTTAACAAATGTTCTTCCCTATTCATTGCAAAGCATTCTTAATTTAGGCTGCTCTCCTATTCTTTTGGAAATACGAATTAGGTTAAGTGATTATGACTGGTGCAAGCCACCGAAGTTAATTAAAGTTGAACACCCAGTATACAAATCACATTTTGTTGGAATTAACTTAGTTAAAGGTTTATTTGAAAGATTCTTTTCCCAGAACTACAAAGTTAAAGAATATTATAGATCAAAACCATTTCTTCTTGCCTCAAAATCAAAGTATGACAAATTAATAGTAAATGAGATTACAGGTCTTGGGTTCACAGAGAATCAAGCAAATTCTGCTCTAGAACAAGTTAATGGTAAACTGCAAGATGCAATAAACTTACTTCGAACCGGATTACTTCCAACAGGCTATTCTATGAAGTATTCATCATCAAATCCGTTACTATCTTACTCTGACTGTCCAATTCTTTATCTTGTCCTTGAAATTGTGGATATTTATTTGGATTTGACGGATCATTGTTGTATTTGTCGCAAACCATTGATCGAACCTACAATAAAGCCAACTCTTTGTGAAGGTGAGATGTGTAGAAGCCTTTTCGAATCAATAGGAATTGGAACTACTGTTTTACAAGAAATTAAGCGTGATCCAATTGTGGCTGATCTACTTTTAACTATGTTTTCTACAGCAATAGGCCATTTTCTTGATCCTGCTCCACCGAAATTTTCAATACAAAAAATGATTTCTATTTTTAATGAACTTCCTAGTGTGGATGTATTAAGAAGTTTCAATTCTGATCAGGAACTCTGCCAAAGAATAGGAATTGACGCATATGAACTCATTAAATGGATCTTGTTGACAAATAAGAGTCATTTTTTGGCATTGCCGAATGAATTGAAGATAAATGAGATTAATGCGCGGTTTCAATTCTTGACACTGATTTCAAGCGTCCAAAAAGAAGAAGAATTCAAAAAATTAAAACAAAAATATGGCAGTATATATCTTTGGCATGGTTCTGGAAGTGACAGATGGTATTCAATACTAAGAAATGGCCTCAAAAACTGTTCAGGAACCAAACTGATGAAAAATGGAAATAGACATGGTGATGGAATCTACTTTGCTAAGCATATTGGTATTTCATCGTGCTATATGCATCAATCACAGAATGTTTACAAGGCGTCAAAGCTCAGTGTTAACAAAAATTTTAATATGATCGCTTTGTGCGAAGTAATTAATGATGAGAAGTACTTAACTGAGCACTCAAACTTTTGTCATACATTAACGAATGAAAAACTGTGCATTGTAAGATTCTTGTTCATTAACGTAAAAACGGCTGAGTTCAATACTTTAGTTCAAAAATTCAAACGAATTCCTGCCCTCTCTGATGTGTTGAACTATTATGCAGATGAAGGAAAAAGAAATTCTGATAATGTAAGGTATGTTAGTGAAAGATTAGACAAGGAAATAGAAATATAACAATGCAATTCTTTTAATTACATAAATGCATCTATAATTTATAAGCCGAAATTTTTTTGCAGAGTTAGCACAATTTCAAGTGATTCTCTTAGAATCTTCAATGAGATCATATATTTATATTCTTGGTCTCAGTGTGTTAATCATAAAATCCAAATCTAAAGGTAACTAAACTCCTTTCGCCGATCCGATTTGCCCCATATTTAAAATATAGCTTGCATATGTAGAAGAAAAGCTAATTTTGAAGTACGCCCCAAATCCACCAACAGGATTTCGAGCTACTAAAAAGGTACTTTTAAATGTGATTTTTTTTATAAAAAATTAAATTTATTTTAAGATCAGACTAAAAACTAATTTTATGGAAAATCTATATCGACAAATTTATTACTTATTGGGTATATAGATTTTTTGATTATGGCGATTATGTCTGATATGCTTCCAATAAGCCAAAACACATTTCATACTGATTTCTATAAAAGGTATCTTTATTATAGAAGTGTAAGCTATATCTGTTTGTTTTTTATTATAACAAATTCAAAATTCTCTTATAAGGACTAGATGAAATCTGTATTATTAAATCATTAGCTAAATGAAGGTTCAAATAGAAAGTAAATATCAATTTATATGATACTGAAACCAAATAGTTCTTTTAATAAAAGATAACACGCTGAAAATTATTGAGTATTTGCAAATCTCAAAAATCTATTGGTGAATTTGGCTCAACTTTTAAAATTATAACATCCATATCAAATCATAAAAGCAGACAAAAATTAAAGCCAAACCTATCGGCCAATTTTTTTTGATATTTTGATTTTTGAGGTATACTTTTAAAAGTGGATTTAAAGCACTGATGAAAAAACATTAACTTCTGTCGTTATGATTATTGATTTAGACAATAATGATTTTAATCTTTGATTATCAAAACACTAAAGTCATCTTTTTAACATTTGCTTGGTAGCATTAACTCAAGTCTAAAGTACTATTTTATGTGGCACTCTTAGAATTTTTGTATTCATTGTACACGCTGAAATAGTACCATTAAAGTTATGGCGGACTTTCAAAAAATAGTTTGGTCACCTTTTCCAAATCTTCTAATAGAAACTTTCTTTTGTTTGCCAAAATCTCCTTTCTATACCCTCCTATCAATACTGAGAGTAGTAATATCAAAAATTGTAAAGAGTTACTTTGTTTGAGGAATTGTAATTTAGTCATATGCTTTTATAAGTAAATGATATGATTTTTATCGAGTTTACATTAATTATGTGCTTTTTATCTAACATGCTCGTAATAGCCATTCGAATAGTAGTAGGTGAGTGCGGGTTGTGTGACCTTTATTGTTTCATCTATATATAGACGATGTATTAAAATATATTTATTTATAAATCATTAAAAAAAATTATGCATTAATTTTAAAATAAATTCTTTTTTATCTTTTATAAAAGAAGCTATATATAGATGATGTTAGATATTCCGCGATTAATTAAACATTGTTTAAATCCTGAATGGGTTAAACTTCAATTTAAAAATGAAGATTGTGAATTATTAAATGAATATGAAAGCCAAAATAAGCTAATGAGGTATAAATATAATGATAAAGAATATTTAATTTCATGGAATCAATGGAGTCATAATCAAAGACCTCATAAACGAGAAGAAGAAATTGAAACTAATGATTATTTGAATTTATGAAATCAATTATTTGATTTATTCTTTCTTCAATCTCTTCTATTCTTTTTGTTAAATCATCAATTTTCATTAATGATGTGATTCTTGATTGGGGAATAGATTTCAAACTAACCACCCCTTTTATTTTTGAAATTTTGAATCCATCAACTTTAAACATTTTATTCAATTTACACGTTGTCAATTCTTCAAATAATTTTTTATTATTAGCATAATAGTCATTAAATTCATCAACAGATGAAAAAATTTTTATTTCAGTAATTGGTTTAACAACGTTTATTTTTTGTTGAACATTTTCACTTTCATTTATTTCTTCCTCCTCTGTTTCATTTATTTTTAAAATCGGTTTCATTTATCATTAAATAAAAATTAGAATATAAGTGATGAAATATATTTTTTAATTAATGTTAAATCAGAAATGGCGGCAGGATTCTTTAAAAAATTATGGGATGGAATTAAGAAAGCTGCGGGTTGGGTTTATAAAAAGGTTATTAAACCCGTTGCAAACTTTTTGGCACCAGTAGCGAAAACGGCAGGAACTATCATAGGTGGGGTATTAGGTACTAAAGCAGGTAATCCGGCGATGGGAGCACAAGCAGGTAACGCAATTGGTGGAATTGCTGAAGGAATACTTAATAAAATAGGAGGTAGATAGTGGAAAAATAAATTATTTTAAAATTATTTTTATCTTAGTATCGATTGTAGTCTTTGATAAACTTTTTCTCCTTTATTTAAAACTTCTCTTATTGGGGCAGCTTTTGGTGTTATTGATTCAGCAATGTCACTAATTGCTTCTTTATTCTTAAATACCCAATTTGCTCCCTTCTTCAATGTTTCCCAAACTTTACTCGCTCCTCTTTTTACTCTATCCCACAGTTTCTTAAATATACCTGCAGCCATAGTTGATTATTTCATTAAAATTAAAAATTCATTTTCATCTTTTAATTTTGATTTTTTATTTATTAATAAATGACGACTAACTATTTGGTGCCAAACACTAAACCGATTAATGGAAATGTGTTTCATTCATTCGAAAAGATAAATGAAATATTCGCAAAGAATGACGGTAGAAGATATTATAGAGAACTTGAAAGTTCATGCTATGACTCTGATGCTCCATATTTTGATGATAAACAAACTCATTTAAGAATTACAAATCCGGCTCATGATGTGAACCAATTAGGTGACACATATATTAAACGCAAAGTTAAAGCAACTCTAGTTTCAAATAAAGCTTTCACATGTGATGCCGCTTTTAAATGCATGCGTTTATTCGTTGGTTACAAATCATCAAATCAAAGTTTTAAACAATTAGAAGTAGAAACTGAAAGAGGTGATGCCGGTTATCTTCAGATGGATTGCGCCCGTGAATCTTTCGCATTTGCAACATATAAACCGAAATCAGAAAGGAAAGTTAAAAAGTTTGTTCATTCGTTATATAATAATGTTCAAAAATATGATAACTCAGTATGTGGTAAATATATTGACCCTTCAGAAGTTTTCAAGAGAGCAAATGAAGAAGTTGATGTCACTTTTGATATGATTATTCCGGTAAATGATTTGTTAGCATTTCAGGCGTTCGATGATTATCCTAAATCATTTGGTGATATCATTCTTAAATATTATGTTTTCAGGGATACTTTAGTATTTTGTCAGGTTGACCCGTTAAGAGTTGCTGATTTACAAAATTACGTTTATGAAAAGATAACTGATGAAAATTATGAAAAGATTATGAATCATGTTTATAAATATGATCGCAAATTCCAACAAATCGGACTTCCTGCCAAATTAATTACAAGCTTAGCCGCTACATCTGCTGACGCAACAGTTGATGACGTTATTATTTCATGCACAAAGATGGAAGTTTTAGAGGATAAATGCATTACACCAGGATACGGTTTAATTGAAGAATCAGTTAAAGCAATACCACGTTTATTCAGTAAGGAAGATCCATTCATGATTCCAGCTCAACATATTGACGTTCGTTCACTAAATGGAGGTTGCATCACTCCTGAAGGTATCAGCTCAGATTTCTCATACGCTCTTCATAATGTTACAGATGTTGTGTTAACATTTCCGAAGAATGCAATGCAAAGAACAGTTTTAGAAAATCCAATGCTTCGAGGTCTTCAGGTCACTATAGATTCCAGAAACTTCCCCGATCAAGCGATGACCACAGTGGGCGACATATTCTTTACACGTATGCTTCAAGCTTCTGATTTAGATGGAGTGAATGAATGCACGGAAGAATACGAGGACTCATTAACTAGACCACTGAATGATGATAATGGCACGCCATTAGCTAGAACATGGAAAGACCAAACTTCATTCTTATGCACTATTCCAGTTCAACGTGATGGAGCGGGTATATTCTTTGATGGATTAGAAACTTTCAACTCACAAGTTACAGTACAAGTGAAAGCTTATCCAATCATTCAGGGTGAAAATGACACTTACTGTTCAAAGGTGACAAATCCTCCTCAGGTTTGGTTTACTAGGACTACATATTGGACATGGACACCGGATGAAGGTTTGAAATATCATTCCAACAGGTACACCACCACAGTATAGAAGTTCATATGATGAAATATTGATGAATAGAAATGTTTAAAATTATAAATTTATTTTTGATTAAATGGATTTAAATTCATCCACCCCTTATGAAGAATTAGCAGGAGTATATAATACATACGTAGATGATATGATTAATGAAGCATTGAGTGATAATAGAAATGCTCTATCTAAGGAAAAATTAATGAAAATTCCATATTCTGAATGTTACTTAAATTCAATCACTGCAGCAATTGGTAAACAGAATAAAGGTAAAACATTAACGATATTAAAACAAATTATCATTATTGCTAACACTTCCACCCATTCACATGTGTTAATTTATATCAACCGTTCAGGTTCACCTTCAGATGATACATTTGAATCTTTAAAGCATTTAATCAAAATTCCAATTATTTATTTATCACAAGAAGAAGCAGAAGATTATTTAAAAAACTTTTTAATGTATAAAGAATTATATAATACAATCAAGAAGCAAGGATTAGAGGATAAAATTATTGATAAACAACGGGATGAATTATTTGAAACACTTTCTATTTCAAATTTTGATAGAGAATTTTTGCATTCACTCATTTTTCTAGATGATGCAGTGAAATCAAAACTAATAACAAACGAGAAATCATATTTTAATCAGTTATTAACTCAATGTCGACACATTCAGTGTTCATTCTTTATGGCTGTTCAATATTTCAAAGCATTAAGCACAAACATTAAATCAAATCTATCAACACTTTTCATTTTCAGTGGGTTTAGTCGTCAACAGTTGAACGTTATGCTTTATCAAGTGAATTTACCAATGAGCATTAATGAACTTTACACACAATATCAGCAATTAGGTGAACATGGAAAAATAATAGTTGATTTAAATAAAGGAGGTGTTAAATTTGATTAACTTTTTATAATTAATTTTTTATTTTTTATTTATAATTAAACATGACTGAAATAGCAAATCTTCTACAGGTTCCATTAAAATAAGGGACAAACAAAAAGGGTGCATATAATAGAACCATGAAAGTTCCTGATGGAATGAAAGAATTAGTTCATATTGTTGCTGGTCTTCAAAAAGATGTTAAACAAATGAGAAACGTTTTAACATTACCAGAAGCTCAAGCATATGCCAAACGTCATGGTCCAAATTGGGAAGCACATGAAGCAGACATTACGGGTCCAAATGGAAAACCTGATGGTATAAATGAAGTTTTCGTTACTGATGGTCAAGGTAATATTAAAGTCATAAATGGTTATAAATTAACTATATCTGATTATCCTAAACGTAAAGCATATAATGAACGTTATCCTATGCAATTTGATGAAAATGGAAAAGCTGTTAAACAATACATTGGAGAAGGTGAAAATGGTCCAATTAATTCATACCGTCATAATCCATATTCTTATTTCAATGAAGAATTAAATGCTATTGAAGAGGGACCGGATGGATTACCACGATATTCTAACCAGTTTGATGGTCAATATGCAAATATTAGACCTGAAATTTCAGCTAAGAAATTCTTTAAAGTTGCTTTATTCGATCCAGTTTTCGCAAATGTTAAAGATGAACTTAAACAGCAATTCCAACCAATTATAGTAGCAAGAATTGCATCAGGTGCTTTATCTCAAGCATTCAAAGATTTAATTAAGAAACCATTATATCAGCAACGAGGTTTAACTTATGATTTAGTTAAGGAATCAGATAAAAGAAAATTTGAGAAATCAGATGATTATAAGAATGCAATTAATGAATATATTAAGTCTATTAATTTCGATGAAACAGCTAAAAATCAACTTCATGAACAAATACAGGGAATAATAGATTCAAAAGTTCCAGCAAAATAAAAAGTTTAAATATATTTTTTTATTCGAATATAAATGAGAAGACGTTTCACTAGTCAAAAGAACACTAACACAAAAGCAGAGATTACTGTTGGTTATAACGTAAATGATGATAAATCACGAATTATTCAAAATGTTAAAGTTAATGTTAGCCCTGAATTAACAAGGTCAGCAACTCAACCAAATTTATTAACTCGTGACTTACCGAAGAATGAAGAAAACCATGAGAATGGAGACCCAATCATTTTATCTGAACCTGGTAAAGAACCTGTTGAAATTCCCACTTATCCAACATACCCAGCACCTCTTTCATCAAACATTGAGAACCCATATAAAATAGACATTAATTCTGAATTAATGAAAATTTACCGTGATATAATAATTAATAATTATGATTCAATAATAAATTTAATTGACCAATCTGGTTTAATTATTTTACCTTATGAATCATTAATTCACATTATCGCCATTCTTTGTGATGTTCAAGATTCAGACGTTAAGATTCAATTTTTCATAGATGATGAGGTTTCATGTGGAACAGTTGCAAAAATAAATCCTATAAAGGATATTAGCACAATTAAGATATCAAAGAACGGAACAACAACTGAACTTCATTTAACATATAATGATATTTATAATAAAATAGTTGATAAATATAAAATATCAGTTGAAAAATTCTTTGTTAAGGCTATTTAATATTCAAGCATTAACATTATCGAATAATAATCCTTTGAATCATAATCAATAATAATTGACCTTTCACCAGTTTCTATCGTTTGTTTTATTTCTTTTTGTTTCCCACTATCCGGATCAGTCATTGTAATTGTTTTTGTTATAGTATCAGCTTTATCTTTAACTTCAATCTTTTTTCCATCGGGATATTTAAACCAAAATTCCAAAAATTCGATATTGTCAATCTGTTCATATTTTAATCTATCAATTACATTTTTAATACCATCTGAAAATCTTATGAAATGGTCATTATATGGGTTTGATTGAACTAAATTTGAATGAAGTGAAATATAACCTGTTGATGAATATGACACTGACTCATATTTTCTGAAAACACTAAAATTTATAACATGAATGAATTTCTTATTCGTTGAATTTATGAATTCTTGAGGTAATCTTATTCTAGTTTTATTTATCACTGGAAAATAACGCTTTACCATATTTTTAATCGTAATAAAAATGTCAATTATCAATATTATTTCGAATAATAACTGTGAATTAAATTTAACAGTTAGCGGAATTTATAATGTTACTCTCGTTTCTGTGAGTGGTAAATTTAATCCCATTCTTTTAGACCCTTCAGATTATATATCATTTATTAAAGATGACCTTGAAAAAACGTATGATATGTATATAAATAATGTGATAGCGAAATGGGATATTAACATGATTTTAAGTTATTTAAATGAATCATTTATCGTATGGTATGAAGAAAATTTTAAATCAAAACCTGATAAACTTTTTGAACTTGATGAAATAAATAACCTTATTAAATTTCCACTGAAAATTAAATTTTGTACTCCTCATCTTCGTTCATTGTTGGGGATATTAAATTTTGAAAAAGATGTTGGGGATGTTTTGTATTCTGACACTGGTTCCAATTTCATTTTAATCAAATGTGATAAAGTTAATACCCCAATGAGATTTTCACATCAAACATTAGACCCTAACTCTTACCCATCAATACAAAACATTTTATCCATCAACTTAAACACATTTTCTTTATCATATCCGTTTCAATTATCCGGGAATTCATTTATTCTTCATTCAAAAGATTTATCAAATATTAAATTTAGAATAACTGACCTATTTGATTGTGATTTAGAATTTATGAATGAAATATTATGGCAATTTCAAATAGAGAAAATAGCTGATGAGATAACGGATTAAATATTTATTTTTAAATCATAATAAATGATTAAACAACAGCAAACACAGCAACTTAAGGCGCAAAGCACCCAGGCCCTTCAGACCATTACATACGCCATATATGCATATAATTCAAAGACGGCAGAACAAACGCAAAGGTTGAAATATGGAGATTTGGAGATAGTATTGAAAAATGAGCGTTTCGAATTCGTTTGCAAAGGTGGTGCGGTGATATCAAATATAAAAGAAATTTTATTTATGAATTCAAAAATTAAAGGTATAACGGATGATATAACATCAATTCCACCAGAAGAACAGAGATATTACGCATTAAATGCATTTCCTAAAGTTTTGAAGATTGGAAGATTTAATTTAAATGAGGAATTCATAGAAGGTTTCCTAAATGACATAATGAAGAAGATAGATAAGGAATACGTGGATAGTGAGTTAATGAAGAAAGCAGATTTGGTTTATGTTGATGAAAAAGATAATGAAATTAAAGAAAAGGTTGAATGGTATCATGAATGGACATTCGAGACTTTTAAAGTTAAAGCTGATACAGGATGGGTTTCAGGATGTTTAGACCTTAAAGCAGATAAGGAATATGTTAACAATGAGTTGGAGAAGAAGGCAGACAAAACAGAGCTTCAAACATTAAAGATTGAAATACTTCAAACATTATATCCTGCAGGCTCTATTTATACATCAATGAACTCAACAAATCCAGCAAGTGTTTTAGGTTTTGGTGAATGGAAACAGATTGTAAACAAATTCTTATACTGTGCTAGATATTCAAAACAAGCCGGTGGTTCAAAGAAAATTAAAGAAGCAAACCTTCCACCGCACACTCATACAGGAACTACAAACTTTTCTGGCGACCATAGACACTCATTAAGAGACCACCCATTATACAACTCAGAGTATGAAGCTGGTTATGATGTTTTATCTCCAGCTTATAACGATTCAACAAAAAAGACTTTTCGACAAACTGAACCAGGAGGAAATCATTCACACACTTTCACAACAAATCCAACAGGCTTGGGCGAAGATTATATGCCACCATTTATGACTGTATTTGCATGGTACCGCGTTCATTGAACGCACTTGAGCCTAGACCCTTTGGGTCAAAGCTTACCGAATGAACTAAATATATTTTATGTCTGTAATTAATTAGGTAATGAAGTAATGGATGAACTGCAGAAATATATTTTATCGTTAATGGTTTTTAGGTGTCACTACGTCACCATGTGTCACCAGGTTAATTAACTTCTCTTAAAAATGATGACAACATGACATTTAGACAACAACACAGGTACGAAAGGGGGAAGGCATTTATTATTTATTTTTGAAGAACTGAAGGTGTCACTATGTCACTATGTGTCACTCGGTTGATTAACTTCTCTGAAAAAATGAGACAACATGACATTTAGACAACAGTCCTGGAAATATATTTTATCGTTAATGGTTTCGTCAATGGTTTCAGGTTATTTAATAATTAATTATTTTTGAAGAACTGAAGGTGTCACTATGTCACTATGTGTCACTCGGTTGATTAACTTCTCTGAAAAAATGAGACAACATGACATTTAGACAACAGTCCTGGAAATATATTTTATCGTTAATGGTTTCGTCAATGGTTTCAGGTTATTCAATAATTATTTATTTTTGAAGAACTGAAGGTGTCACTATGTCACTATGTGTCACTCGGTTGATTAACTTCTCTGAAAAAATGAGACAACATGACATTTAGACAACAGTCCTGGAAATATGATGCAGCCCAAAAATAAAGTTAGTTTTAAAATTATTTTTATTTTTTTATTCCTATATAAATGACAGCAACAACAACAAGCAACTATATCGTTTCTGATGAAAAAGTTATTGATTCATTAGCTGAGGAATTAGTTGTGGCAGAAACTAAAACCCTCAACGAAAGAATTGGTGAAAACAGGATTGATTTACATAACTACCTCAAACATGATGGAGGAAGAGGAAGGAAAACTGGTATGGCTTTATTAGTAAATAAAATATCAAATTTAACGATTATAGATGTCGATATCAATAAATCATACAATGATGAACTTAAAGAAACAGTTAGAAAAGACATTCTATCAAAACTTTCGGATAAAGATGTTATCGTTAAAACCGCTTCAGGAGGTCTTCACATTTATTGCAACACTAATTTCTTCTATGCAGTTTCGAACAGAATGATTAAATGTTATTCCTGCAATGATTATGATATCGATATCATGACTTCTATTGATGATTCAAAGCGTTCTTTAGTGGTTATGGCTGATTCAAGAGTTCGCAAGAATGCAACAGAACCAATCAATACATACTCATTCATTCGCGGAAGTTATGATTCAACATTAACTAGAACCGTGAATGATATATTAAATGATTTGAATATTAAGGTAAGAGTTGAACAGAAGAATGAAGAAATAAAGAGTATAATGAATGAAAACAAAGATGTAAACATTGACGATAAACTTGCCCAGAGCATAGTTGATGGCATCAGTGATTTTGAAGTACATAATGACGGTGGAAACATGAATTTAGAAAAAGAAGTTACATTATTCACACTGTTTCAATCAATTAATTCGTTACCTAATCATTTAATTAATGAAGCATACGATAACGTTTATAACTTCTGCAGTTTAACAGAAAATGCAAAAAGTAATTTTGAAAAAGCACGTAGTAGATATGCACATTTAATGACTTCTCCATTTGTTTTAGTGAAGATTCTAAAACTATATCAAAAGGAATATTATGATGAATATGTTTTACCTTTATTACGTAAGCAAAAAATAACATTTGATATAAAACTTGATGACTCGTTTTTGATAACAGATATTAGACGCAAGGCTGAAAATCATCAGTATAAAAACAGTTCTGAAGTCATTGAGGATTTATCACGTGTAATCCGTTTTGCAGATTGTGGAAATAAATATTTCATTCAAAAGGACTATAATATCCACGACAAAATGAATCAAATATCATTCGTTCTTCAATCAAACATGAAAGAGTCACTCAAAATGATTAAATTATTTAAAGAAGAAGGTAAAACAATAACAGCATGGGATGTACTACTAAATCAATTGTCTTCATTAACCGTTAAGGGTGTTTGCTTTAAATCTGATTCCCCAGATGTTTTCTCAACGTTTCAAGGTTATAAATACAACATTATCGAAAAACCAGATTACTCAAAAATTGAGATGTTTATGAATTTCATTAAAGAAGCTATTTGTGATAATAACGATGAAGTGTATAAATACCTACTCGGTTGGATTGCATCAATGATTCAACATCCTGGAATCAAGAATGAAACAGCAATTATTTTGAAAGGACTTCAGGGAACAGGTAAAAACAGATTTACAGATATTATTTCTGAACTTCTCGCCGGTTATTCATGCAAAAACATTACTGAAATAGGTGAGCTAACGGGTAATTTCAATTCAGTAGTTGAGAATAAAATGTTTCTTGTACTTAATGAACTCAAGAATGTAGGTGAAGATAGACTCGCAAACTTCAACGCTTTGAAATCAATTATTACGGATAATGAGATTAGAATTAATGAAAAGAATCAACCCAGAAGAACTGCTCAGAATGTTGCAAACTTCATTTTCGTAACTAATAACGTCTACCCTGTCAAAATTGAAGTTGGAGACAGAAGATACGTAGTTTTAAGAGTTAATGGTAAATTTAAGGGTCAATTTGATTACTTCAAGAATTTGATGAATTCATGCACAAAGGAATTTTATGATAATTTACTGACGTATTTTATCAATTACGACCTTTCATCATTTAATGTACGAATCATACCGATGACTGAAGCCAAACAAGATTTAATAGAATTATCAACAAATCCTTTAGATGTATGGATAAGTACACATTATGATGAATTGTGTGCAGGTATGACGTGTAAAAATGCTCTATTCTGCAAACCATCAGACATGAAAGACAAGAATTTCCAAATGAGCATTAAAGATAAAAGTGATAAGAAACAGAGAAGAATAGATGGTAAACAAACATGGTGTTATGTTTTGAAAGAAGAAATGAAAGGATTATATAAACAGGTTGAACCAAACGATAATGAGGATTCATTTACTGACGATGAAATACTGTAAATGACGCTTTATAAAGTATGATTTGAATTTATTTTTGCATTAATCCTTCTGTGTTGTCTAAATGTCATGTTGTCTCATTTTTTCGGAGAAGTTAATTAACCGAGTGACACATAGTGACATAGTGACACCTTCAGTTCTTCAAAAATAATTCATAAGTGCCTTCCTCATTAATCCTTCTGTGTTGTCTAAATGTCATGTTGTCTCATTTTTTCAGAGAAGTTAATTAACCGAGTGACACATAGTGACATAGTGACACCTTCAGTTCTTCAAAAATAATTAATTATTGAATAACCTGAAACCATTGACGAAACCATTGACGATGAAGTCTTGACAAAACATTTACGAGGGTGAAAAAAGAGGTGAAAAAAGAGGTGAGATCTCACCTCTTCACCTAAACATTATTTTTATTGAATTCAGCAACAAAAATCATGAATTTCCTTAAGATAGAAAAAAATAAAGTTAGTTTTATTTTTATGAATTATTTTTATTTTGTATGTAAGAACAGTAATGACAAACATTGAGTTTGAAACAGTTAGAAAGATAGACAATGACACCAAAGTGGTTAGAATAGGTGATTTAAACGTAAGATACTCAAAGAAATACAACAAATATTCTTTGTCAGACATTATATCTCCATCTGGAAAGAAAACAAAGGATTGGGTTAGAATTGCTTCTACTCAGAAAATTTTGACAAGAAATCCTGAGCTTATGATATCAGTAGCATTTCATGGAACAAGAGCATATCTTATAGACAAAAGTCTTATACCAATAGTTTTGTTATGGTTAGACTCAGTTGTTGGATATAACTTCATAACTTATGGTTCATTCGATACAGAACGTTGCAGTGAAGGCTTACTTTACATCGTTCAGAAACCGAAGGACTTCAATACAAAGAGATATAAGATAGGAAGAACATATAATATAACTCAAAGATATGACAGTACAGTCAATAGAGTCAAGGTTGTGTTTGTTAATGATATGAGAGCTGCTGAAACAGAACTACTTGAAAAGTTTGAGAAAATGTATGGTGCTCCCATAAAAGGTAAAGAAACGTTTGAAGTAGATGAGATAGATAAAGCTATAAAATTATTTGACGAAGTTGCTGAAAAATACATGTAAAGCGTTTATTTTTGGTCTTTTGTGAAGAATATAGCAACTGTCTGAATTCCGGCGGTTGCTTTTTATACAAAATTCATGCAGGAATTCCTGATGAAATCAAACATGAAAGAGTCACTCAAAAATAAATTTTCTTATCATTCAAATTAACTAAAGATGAACTGAGTAGGTGACAAAAGTGCATACTCTTAAACAACCGTCGGATTTCCGGGTGAAATCGTGACACACTTTCGTCTTTCGTAGGCAGTGGTGGTTGTTACAAAAGGTAACTTCGAATGTAGCGTGAAATCTGCAAAAAAAATTCTGAAATTTGAATGGAGAACACAAAAATTGAATAGTTTACGTCAATAAAAAAGAGAAAAATTAAGCCAATGTATCTCGAACCTAGGACGTAGAGTAGCAATCACACTGTTTATCCCATTACACTACATGCATCTCTCACCTCAGTAAATGAGATCAACTATATGATAACTTTTTCCCCATTATATTCTTGTGGAAAAGTGACAAATAGCAACTTTGACCCTCTCTCAAGATGAACTTAATAAAATAATGATAAAATAACTGATAACAAAATTTTATTTTTGCATAAATGAATACCCCACAAGCTCAAAATTTACCACGAATCATAACAAGGGAGGAAATGATAAAAATGATGCAAAAACTAATTAAAAACAACAAACCACGAAAACCGAGAAGATGTGGTTATGCAGTAATGATGGAAAGAAGATGAGGAATAAAAATTAAATTTGGATAGAGTTTAAAAATTCATCTTTATTAAATTCATCTCTTCCAATCAATTTATTTATTCTATTAAATTCTTTTATTTTTGCTTCACTCAGTTTAAGGATTGAACGGTAAGTTTCTAATTTTTCGATTATTTCTTTCCTCTCTTTATCGTTTTCGACCCCACCACATTGCGGCTTCTTTTTATAATAACATATTTTTGATTTAATTCTGTTTAGTTTCTTTTTATATTCATCGTCTGGACTCTTGGATGCTTCGTTGTCACCCATTTCTTACGAAATAAAAAAATTAAATATTATTTAAATATAATGGAGTAATAAAATAAATCGGAATTTCTATTAATTTATTGTTAACCTCAACTAATGCATTGCCGTTAATATATCTAATAAATTCAGCTATTGTGTCAAATCTTCGTCTTCTTTTTGTCATTGATTTATCAGTTTTTCCATAATCGAGATGAATCAAAACTTTATCCCCTTGTTTAAAATTCATGAGCCCCGAATTAATTTGTTCACGTTTAACATCATTCAACCTTTCCATTTGTTTTCTAATATATTCCCATTCTTTTGAAATATCATTTTTCATTTCCACTGGTTTCATGTTTATAGTTCTATGCCATGTATTATTGTAATAATATACTAACTGTTGTATGATGGAGTCATGATTTCCATCCCAGTATATCTGACCGTTAACCCCTAACACATCTCTAAGAGTTCTCATTACCGCATCAACTATTTTATTATGAAACGTATATGGAGAGGATGAAAAGAAAAAATTAATTTGTGGGAAATAATGAGCCATAGCTGCCTGAAATCCTTTATCACCATCACCCCTGATATTATCCACTCTTTCATGATCTAGTAAGTATTGTATAGCTCTTCTTGTTTCCTGTTCTGTTTTCCCTTTCACTGGAATGCAATATAAATATCTAGTGTTAATGTTAATGGCAAATAAATAAGTAACATTTCCTTTTGAATATTCCAGATGATTGATTTCGTATGAATATGGATATGGTGCAAATGAAGGGCGACTAAATTTTTCCTTTAACGGTTGAATTTTCGGGTCAATTGGTTTATTTAATATCTTGAAATCCTTTTTAAAATCTTTTTGCTTCTTTAATGTTTGAAATGGATATAATAAAGTGAATGATGAAGGATTAACTGAAGGAGGAGGTACTGTCGTTGGAGGTTTTGGTGTTGCAAGTGGTTTAATTTTATCTGCTTTGATTTTGGAATTCATTCCCCCCTTCATTAATTCTGGATGTATTCTATTCATTTGTTTTAAATATGCTGTATATAAAGGTTTGATATACTTTCCCGCTTCGAGTTTATGTTGAAGGATGAATTCCAAAAGTTGATCTTCATTTAAAAGTCGGGCTGAATATGATTTAACTAATGAATCATAAATTAAAGCTTGTGCTTCATTTATGGTCTGAAGGACCTGGGCGTTTTGCACCCTTTGTTTTTGTTCCTTTGGTTTTTGTGGCTCATGATTATATAAATTATATAATTCATCAATATCTTCTTCTGTTAATACTTTATTTTTGAAATCTTTCAACTGTTTAAGTTGTGATTTAGTTTTTCCCTTTGAATATTCATTATTTATAATTTCGTCTTTAATTTTAGAAATTATTTTATCATGATATTTCAAAATTTCATTTTTATAATATGGATAATAATATTCCATATCATCACCCGTTATATTGTTATTATGTTTTTGGAGATATGATTTTAATTCATAATAAGTAAGAAAATTTTGATTAAGTACTAAATCATCAATTAAAATTTTTAAATCTACATTATTCATTTATATAAAAATAAAATAAGTGTTTTAAATAAATGGCATACAACATCCATTTTCACAACATACAGCCTTAGTGTGTGCTCCTGTTAATGCAGTCTTACCGATTGTTAAGCGAGTCATTGACCTGTTTTTAAGTTGTAAATTAATATTCTGACCATCGAAAATAACTTTATCATTTATTATATCCAAATAATTTTTAGGTGTTAATTGTTTATTTTGTCGTAAACTAACACCTTTCATTTTTTGTGCAATCTTTTTAAAATCACTTCCATCAATTGAACCGTTGAATGATGTATAACACTTAGGGCATAAAGCAACCATGTTATCACCTTGTTTCTCAATTGCTAAACCCAATAACTTCTTCTCATGTGCTTTTTCTTCAGCTTTATTCTTTAATTTAGGTTTAAATTTCTCATCAAAACAGAAGAAATCAAATGGTGCGAATTTGAAAATGTTTTTATCATAAAATTGTTTATCGGTAACAATTGCTTGAAATGCTTGAGTGTTAGGAAGATTTGGGTCGCCAGCGATTGCCCAATAAGATGAATCAGTATCACCTTCAATGAAATGAAAACGATTAACATCCATGCATTTATACATAAAATCATAAATGAAAACTAAATACCAGTATTTTGCATTATCTAAAGTGAAGAATGCCTCTTGTAAACATGTTTCACATCTATAAAATCTATCTTTGAGCATCACTTGATATGTATCTTCACCTATTTCTCAATCAAGAATCACATCATTAATGAAAATTGATGATTTAACAAAAAGAATAGAAGAGATTGAAGAAAGAATAAATCAAATAATTGATTTCATAAATTCAAATAATCATTAGTTTCAATTTCTTCTTCTCGTTTATGAGGTCTTTGATTATGACTCCATTGATTCCATGAAATTAAATATTCTTTATCATTATATTTATACCTCATTAGCTTATTTTGGCTTTCATATTCATTTAATAATTCACAATCTTCATTTTTAAATTGAAGTTTAACCCATTCAGGATTTAAACAATGTTTAATTAATCGCGGAATATCTAACATCATCTATATATAGCTTCTTTTATAAAAGATAAAAAAGAATTTATTTTAAAATTAATGCATAATTTTTTTTAATGATTTATAAATAAATATATTTTAATACATCGTCTATATATAGATGAAACAATAAAGGTCACACAACCCGCACTCACCTACTACTTCGAATTCATCAAAAATGTTTAGAAATTAATTCAATTTAGGTGTTGTGTAAAAAAAAAAAAAAAAAAAAAAAAAGGAAGTGGGGCTTCCAGGCACTTCGTGCCCTCTAGCCCCTAAATTTTTTCCAAAGTTTAGAATGTCATTCCGTAATTGGGACGAAGTCATTGCGCACTTTTCTACGCACCAACCAACACCAGAGCAGTTAGAAGTGCTTGAGAAGATGAAGGAGGAGACTCTGGAGTATTTGAGACAACAAATTGCAAATTACAATTCGAAGATTGACGAAACAGTCTATAGAGTCTCATCGGCAGAGTCACATATAGAAGTGGACCAGTTGGTCAGTGACTTATTATATTATACTGCTGAACGAAACAAATTATATAACAAATTGAAAGAATTGGAATAAAAAATTAATATTTTACTTATATTTTTTTTCTTACAAGCTCTGGGTAGTATGTGGGGGGCTTCCCCCCGAAGATGTTTAGTATAAATGAAGTTTTTATTCGGAAAATTGTTAGTCTTCTGGTGTGAATTCGGAGGACTCTTCTTCTTCAACATCAAAGTCATCTGGTGTATCGAACTGAATGTATGAAAGCCAAATGTTGTATGTGTTTTCCAATTGGCTTTCAAACTTGAGATACATTCCATGCATGAGTGTTATTTCAGTTTCAACGTAGAGTTGCTGATGTGGCTTGAAGACATGCATGAGAATTGGTCCTCCAAATTCGTCCTTGAAAAACTTGCAGTAGCAAACATAAACTGAGATAGAGTCTCCTTCTTCAATGTCTTCTGCTTGGTTAACGAAATGAATAGCAATTTTGCGTACTTGAATTGTGTTGTTGTCTGAGTAAAATAATGGTTTGAACTTGGGGTTGAGTGAGCTAAGACATTGCCATTTTGCTGTTTCTTGTCCGTACTCACGTTCTTCTTCGTCATCCTGATATCCGTAACTCTTTGATTTGAATTCGACCCAAAGCTGTTCGACTTTTTTTGCAGCTTTGGGTGGAAGACTTTCAATAAGCTGACATATAGTTCTGTCAACCATTATCTTTGTTATTGTTGGAAAATAGTTGACAATTGTGTCACCTAATTCGAATGGGTCAGGTGTTTCTTTTTGTAGTTTGGTAAAGTCTGCAAGAACTTTGTTGAGTTGTTCACAATATTCTTTGTTAAAAGTTGCAGGAACTCTTTCTTCTGGCTTTGAATTGAAGTATTCTTCAGACAATCTGAGTAGTATTTTGCGTAGTTCAGCGTTGCTGTGGTTCTTTGTAATACGGAGCTCGTTTGGTATTGTTTTTGGTAGTGAAAGTGGCTTTGGATTGAGTGAATTGCAGGACAAATTTGAATTTGAATTGTCTGTTCTGCTTGGAGAATGTGTAGATGCTGCAGTTTGATATTGAGGTTCTAAACCTGTGGGTGCTGAAAGTCTGCAAGCAATTTCTTCAGGTGAATTTGGAGCGAACACGCTAGCGAATGCCATTAGACAAAAATAAACTGTTTTTTTCAAATAAGAGTTTGAGATGAACCGTTTTCGTCAACGGAGACCCCCTCTATTTTTTTATTTTATTTAATAGTTACCGTTGGCAAACCGTTCCATCTCAAATATTGAATGAACTATAAACGTTTTTTGTTTTCTATATATACTTTTTTGTCCAACGGTAAAACTTTTTACACAACGGTTTTTGAGAGTCGTCGCCGTTGACTTTTTTGTAGAGCACTCAAAATAGTATAACTTTGTCCGGACAAGTAAGGGTCTATCGTCGCTACAGGAAAAGTTACAGGCGTTCCAAGGAAGTATACTTTGAGAAGCCTTTTCCCCCTTATAGAATGAGATAGGACGGTTATTTTACAAAACTGACAACACTTTGACCGAGTAGTTTTTTGTGCTGAACAAAAAGTGTCATACAAACAACCGTCAAAAGCCGCTTTTTAACTTCACTTAAAATGCCACGTAAGCTACGTAAGAATATACGTAAGAGGAAGAGAGCATTGAAACATCCAATAGTAAAACTGACACCACAACAACAGTTGCAACAACAAATTATGAATGACCCCACTATGTTGCAACAAATGTCAAGCAATCCTATGCTTTTAAACCGAGTTTTGGTGCACAGAGTGGAGGTTTAAGAGCGGCACTTTTAGCGAAAATGGCAGGCTATGGTGGAGCTGCAGACGGAACAGCATATAACCCTCAAAGTCAAATGAATTTGAGTTCACTCAAAAATCAAATAACAGATGTCAAAAAGTCAAACATAGACATACAGAAGCAAATAAGTGAAAACGAAAAGAAACTAGAATATGACAGACACACAAAGAAATTCAATGAGTTAAACGTAGAGAAAAAGAAGAAAGAAGAACAACTGAAAGAACTAAGTACAGAGGAATATGCGAAAAAGTGTCAGAAAAAGCAGCAGAAGTAGCAAAAATGGAACAAGATGTTATATAAATTTGAAAAACCATACTACTCAATATAAAGTACTGAAAGATGAAGAGATAAAACAAAAAGCCATGAAGACATATATGGAAAGCGATGAGTATAAAAAAGAAAGTTGAAGCAAATGTAAAGGCAGAAAAACTTTTACAGTTGCAAAACCAAACCGTACAGTATGAAAACTTAGCACAAGAAAGTAAAAATAACGACGCAGCCATGCAAAAGGCAATGAAAAGCGCAGAATATATAAAAGCTAATAATGACTGGTTAGATGCCCAAGCCAACGCTAAAGCAGCCCAACTTATAGGGTCAATAAGGACAAAAATACAAGCGGATGAAGACAGTTCAAATGAAGCTTTAATGAATGCTGACTTTAAGAACGCCTTCGAAGCTCTTCATAGTAAGGTGAAACTAGTGAACGACTTCTCATCTGGAAAGAAACTGAAGTCTGAAGGTTTCGACAAAGAGTTAAAAGAAGTAGCACAAAATATGACGAAAATAACAGATGCAGCAACGAGACAGGCAGTTCAAAGTGCCTATGACGCCGTTAGAGCAACTGTTGTGAAAAGTCAAGAAAAAGAGTTACAACAGACCAAAACAGACCTAGTAAATGCTTTCTTAAGAACGAAAAGTCAGGTAGGACATTACGCTGCAGATGGAACATATGTGCCAGCTGGTGGAACTTATATACCACCAAACCCTCCAAGAGAAGCACCTGCACCAGGACTACCTAGAACATTTACATCGTCACATGGACACAGACACAGGCATGCACCAAAACCAACACAACAACCAGCACAACAACCACCTCCACAACCAGCACAACAACCAACACAACAACCAGCACAGCAACCAACAGTTCAAAACCCTGCACAACAACAACCACAAACAGAGCAAGGACATAAAAGAAGTAGAGAACAAGGAAACCAAGAATTCTTAAAAATGCTTAAAGAAGAGTGTGGTTTCCCAGATAGTATTGACTTTAGTGACAGATATAAAGAAGCTATTGGAAAGTTCAAGGATGGAAATACTGACCCGAACCTATTTAGCTTTATGGCTCAGCACCAAAACGGATATAATCTCAAACCTGGAAAATACAAGCTCGCTAAGGGATATGATTTAATAGCATATCATCCAAATGACATGGATGAATTTACTCCGAGATATTTGATGTCAGAGCTAAATGACAATTCAACTTTCGTCATGAAACGCGTAAAAAATAGAGACGGAACGAAAGAACAAAAGCTTATGAATGCGGATGACGTAGATAGGGAAATTGTTAAAAACGGTCTCGGAATATATGAAATGCCAGCAGATGAGGTACAAGAAACTCCACAGGAAGAAATAGTTCAGATACAACCAGACATGGAAGAAATAGTTCAGCAACAACAGCTAGAAGAGCCTGAAGGAAACGAACAAGTCACTCCTTTGGAAACTAACTTCACAGAACTAGATGAAGATTTGGAACAGCCGAAAAATCTTGACCCTCAACAAGAGTATGCGGAGAATATGGAATATTTCCAAGAGTCTAAAAAAAATTCGGCTGACATAGTAGAAGAATATCGAAAAATGTTTGCCGACATACAAAAGACTCCAACACCAGATGAAAATATTCTGCATAGAATGGAAGTACTGAAAGAAAATGTACACAAATACAACAACCCTTTTTACTTACGAGCATTTAACGTTCAATCTTCGGATGAACTCGGTGAAAATAAAAGGTTAAATTTCAAGAAAACATATAGAAATGAAACATTGTTTAAAGTTCATTCAGAACCTAACCAAGATGGAAACAAACCTACTTTTGTTTCTGCAGACGATGGAACTACAATGAGATGGGGTCATAAAGCTAACCCGGATAGGTGGTTCATAAACTTACAACCTCAATTCCAAGAAGTTGTAGACGCAATGGAAGTCAATGGTGAACCAGATATAGCTGGTATTTTAAGCGCGGCTTTAATGCCATTGAAAGATATGAAACATGCAGATATTTTGGACCAGTATGAAATGAACATGGCTGATGGAAATATAACACCTGACGTTCTAGAACATTTATCTCAAAGAACTACACAGAACCATAGAGATGGTATATTTGGTGAAGAGTTTAGAAAGAAAGTTATGGACAGAGAAGGAAGAGAACCTATTGTACATGACCTTGCAAACGAAAGTTTACAAAATGTCATAAAAACTTACTTTGCAGGCGATGAATCGAGAAGGGATGAATATTTAAGAAAACTCAAATGGACAGTACCAAATGAAATGTTAGTATTGAAAAACATGTTCCTTGACAAAATAAAACCAACTACAGAAATAAACGACGCAAGACTGAAAGATTGGGTAAAAGCTTTCCCATTCACAAAAGATATAGTTGGTAACATGGAAAGAAAACCAGAATGGCTACAAAAACATATATTTGGAAACGAGCATATTCCATATGGACAGGCACTGTTTGAAGAGCTTGAACCGGAAACTCAGGAAAGAGTCATGCAAACAATACGCGAAGACTCAAATACAGACTATGACAAACTCTTTCTAGGATATAGGTTACCTGAGATGGGCGACCAGAGTCCAAAGGCAAAAAGGGCATGGAAAATTTGCAACATACTAGATGAACATAATGCAAAGATGCAACAACTTCAAGCAGAGGGCAATGAAGGAAAAAGAAGAGTTAAAAACTCAGTCAGGAAGAAAGTAAAGCTTGGTCCACGTGGGTTCTATTATGACATATAAATCCAACTATTCTATATTTTTACTCATATGAAATGTACGCCGCTCAGAATATAACGCCAACAGTTTTGGATGCTATGAATGGAAATGTTTCCGAATGGTATAACGAATGCGACAATGCCATTAGAAGGTCAGAAATAGTTCCTGGAACTTACGAATATACAACTGCTGTTTCTTATGGAAACGTAGGTGAGTTTGGAGAAGGTTCTTCAACAACAGTAGATATTGCTTGCGACAGGTTTCATATAATTTCTATTGACAACTCTTTCTTATACGTGGAACAAGACATTGAAATAAAACCTTCTGCCAAGTTGTCTGACAAGAAAGGTTGCAATGGAATTTTCTATGTCGGATACCAATATGCTCCAGAAGTTTTCATGGGATATAAGATATATTCTAACTCTGACTTAGTTCAAACAGTAACATGGGCAAACTATGAATGGTTCGCTTTGAGAAACTCAGTACAACCACAAGCTAGAGAACAAACAGACCAGTATGCAACTATTGAGAAAATAAGAAGACTTGACCCTAACGTTCCAGGAGTTTATGTTAACCTTTCTGGACAAACTGCAGCAGCAGTAACCAAAGTAAAATTGAAACTTAGAGTTCCTTTGTCATCTTTCCTCATCTTCAGGTTTTTAAGATACTTGCCAAACTGGGCAGGAAAAATTTCTATCGAACTTACTCCAAGCAAAAATAACTTAGTCATTGCACCAACACAAGACCCATTCACTCTTACAGAAGTAGTGGGAACAAATAAAATGTCATTCGCCGACTTTTGCAAAAACAAAGTTGACTTAGACTTTGGTTTCTCAAACCTCAACACTGAAGTAAACTATTATTTCAATGCTGCTGGAGATGCTTGGGACCCAGTTAAGTTCACATGCGAAAAATTTGAATGCAAGAGAATAGAAAGCAGACTTGCAGTCTATATGTTGGACCCAGATATTTCAAATGCTTTAGCTGCCAAATATATTGCAGTTCCACTTATGTTCCCTATACACCAAATATCTGTCAAAGACTTTGCAGGTGAAGTTGGAAACCAAAGTGCTGACCCAGGTGCAAGAACAGATATTGCCTTAACAACTGCAATGAAACATGCAGATACTATGTTTGTACTGTTCAGACGAACTATAAATGACTATTCTTGCTTCTACAACCCTGGTATTAAATACCATATAAACATAGATGGCAAATATTATCCAAGAGAAGAATATTCTACAGTTGAGGATATGAGGTCATACAACTTGACATTAGATGCTATGAACTTTAACAACAACTTCACAACAACTATTAACCCTGAAATGCAAAGTTCTATTATGCCATATGTGAAAGTATGGACTCATACAGGAGGTCAAAAAACTCAATATACAAATGGAGACCGTTCAAAATTTTGGCTTGGCATTCCATTTGCTGACTCAGAAGACTTTATGGGTGGTATTTCAACTGTTGGTACTGTACAAATACAATATACTGGTGACAGAGACGGTCCAGATGAATTGAAAGCAAAGAAGTTTACAAAACCAATAGCACTTTTCACGGAAGATGCTCTTTTGAAGATTCGTTCGATGAAACCTGCTGGGCTCCTCAGATTGGTATAACGACAGCTTCCATCGAGCAGATTTGGCAGCAGGTCAGTAAGTTGTTCTTGAACTGACTTCTCTCCGTCAAATATTGACAGTACGCCAGTTTTGACATAATATTGTATTATAAACTTACCTTTAGAAATATCGTCAGTTTTGTTGTTATATTTTTGTCTGCTTCAAGAACTTTCACCATTTCGTTATACCAACTTTCTTTGCTTTATGAAAATATTTTGGTTCAGCAAAGACTGCTATTCTATAACATTTTCCATTGTTTGTGTAAAGAACTATTCTGTCAATGTATTTGTATTGTTTGTGTGTGTAAACTTTGTTCTGCTTCAATTCGAAGAGATACTCAATACGTCCATCTTTTTATTCTAAGTAAAATGTCATTTCCGAAAAATAGAAGCGTAAGTGTTTCAAAAGGTTTAATGGCGGTGGCAGATGTGAAGTTAAATTCACCAACTCAAACAAACAGTCAAAGTGTTGTTGTCAATGTCAAAGAAAGAGATGTTGAAGTGGGGAAACCATACGAAGACGAAGATGGTATAACAATTGTTCCTGTAAAAGAACAACCAACATATCCTGAAGTTAGCAGAGACTTAAGTTCTGTTGCAGATATTCGAAACGACTACCAACAACTTAAAGACAAACTTAAAACTCAGGAGAAGATTTGTCAAGCTTTGGTATAATGTTAAACTTGGTCGAACACAACCCTGTAAAAGTGAACTCATATGTCATTGCACCTCATGAAGTTTTGAAAGAACTATTGAAACTTTTGACAGAGGCAGACGATATAAACATCAAAGAAATAGAACCCGACATTAGTTGCTGTGGTGTTTCATATAATGTCATTGACAAGATATACGTTATGAAAGGAGGTGAAACGTTGAACTTAAAATATAGTTTCCCAGACGTCATAAAAATATTTGACGACCACAACATTTCATTAAAATTTATTGCTAAGTAAATGGCAGAAGACATAGTGGTTTATACTATTACGACTAAAAACCCTGAGTCATATAATTCTATAACAACAAACTTACAAAGTCCTCAAGGACGATATTGTAAACTAACCTTAAACACAATGACGACTAAAGCCTGTTTTGCTCTTTTGACACCAGAAGACTTTATTGTTGTGAATGGTAAAAAATACTCCTTTGAAGATACTTACTCAGATATACCACCAACAGGTTTTGTTGACTTATTTAATACTTTAAGGACGGATGTAACATGTGCTGCAACTAGAGCAGGTTTCATTATGTTTGGATGTCCGACTGAGTTTACTATAAACGATATGAGCTATAATACAAAACTTATATCTGGTTTTTACTACCAACAGTTTCCTATAACAGGAAAAGGTGTCATACAAGGAATGTCTATTCCATTGACTTTAAGTACACCTATTTTATATATTGTTTCAAACTTAGGTTCAAAGTGCTATTCGAATGTCGACAGAAACTACTATGACCAAAAGATACTTATGCGTATAAACAACACTTTCTCTGCTGGTTTGCCTATTGTTCATTCGAATGCAGTTTTCAACCTTAGTGAACTCAAACACTTTGGCAAAATAAACGTTGACATTAGTTGACGCAAACTTTGTTCCTGTAAAACTTTTATGTCCTATGTATTTGTCAATGACGGCAGAAAGTTTCGAATTGGAAGATGCAACTGGTGAAAGTATTGTATTACAAGAACAACTTCAACAACAAATAGCTCAAGAACAACAAATGCAACAAAGAACAACAAAGTCAAGAATAAAAAAAATATTTTTTTTTATTTTTATAAAAATGTACAGAATAGATGTTTCAGATTTTTATGACTTCCAAGCATTCAGAAATATGTGTCCATTTAGAGACTATAACAAAGCAGTCGAGAATTTGAAACGTTTAGTCATTTATGTGACTCTGCCCCAGAATGTTATGTCATGAAAGAATGGGATGTTGTCTTTAACAAACCAAGAGCAACAATAGTTTCAGAACAAGAATGTAGACAGAAACTTAAGAAAATAAAAGTCGTACAAGTTGGAATGAAGATGTTAGATGCTTGGGATATCTTATTGTCAAAGTTAGAAGATTTTTCAGTTCGAGGTATAAAGTTCTATACACCTTCTCCAAACTTCTATTCTATCTTCACTGGATATAAATACGAACAAGTAGAATGGAAAGAAAATATTATAGAAGCTTGGTTAGACCATGTCAAAGAAATTATATGCAATGGAAACGAAAGAGTCTATGAGTATATCTTATGTTGGTTTGCAAACATCTTACAACATCCAAGTGCTAAAAATGAAACTGCTCTCATTATAATTGGAAAACAAGGAACTGGTAAGAACACTTTCTTTACAGATATTGTGCAAACTGTTAGAAGGCTATTCGAACCCTAATATGACAAACTTAGAAAACATCTGCGGCAATTTAACTCTCAATAGAGAATATGAAACTTATAGTTTGCAATGAACTTCAAAGTATAGATACAACAAAAGTTTTGAAC